TAAAAACACATCGAGTCATTCAGTGCATGTCTAGTCAAGCGATCTAGTTACTACGTCACATGACGTGTCATGAACGAAGGTTTGTATGTCTAACATTCCTACATGGTGAACTTTTCGTAACCTTGGCAACATGATCAGAATGGAGACGGAAAATGTGATTGGTTTATTTATATATGTACTATTAATTAAGTACGAATAAATATTCCAGAAATTTCTTGTACATTTTTTTCTGTTAAAAAACAAAAAACACTAACACATTATTATTACGATTATTACTATTATTATTTTTATTATTGAAAATCTGTCAGATCAACTTTTGACGATAATTTAAACCGATGCTATTCAGTGTCATATGGACTACGTTCAATTTTTTTTGAGCACTTGATAAAGGAGATTTGGGACTATATCAACAGCGGAGTGATACTCGAGTGTGTATTCATACGCTGACTACCTTTATAGCGACTTGAAGTAGTTATTGGTGAATGAAAAGACATCCATGAATGGTATGTTGACTGAACATGTTCTTTCACAAGCGGACATTTTTATCTTTATAGGAATCCCCCCCCCCCCCCCGCTTAACGGGGTGAGGAGAAAATAGAATCCCAAGTTCAAGGTCGTGTAGACTGAAAGGTTTACGGGAACTTAAATGTATTTTTTTTAATTAACTGGCATGTTGTGATGTAGTGGGGAAGGAAGGGGGGTGGGGGGGGGGGGGTAGCTGTTCTATTTATAGATCTGGGTTGTCAACAAGACATGGAGCATATCTTGAAGGCGTGGTAGTAACAGTAAACAGTGGAACTAGCTAACCTACCCATTAGCTTAACCAGAGGCTTAACCAGTGTTTCTTCCAGACTTTTTTCTCCGGGGGGGGGGGGGGGGGGCACTTGAAATTTTCGGGGGGGGGGGGGCGGTAGACTTTCTTCGGGGGGGCGGGGGGGGGCGGACACTGTTAAAAGTATATATTTTCTATATAAATTATATAAATTTCATTTCGGTAAAAAAATTTCGGGGGGGTGGTGCTTCGCCTCCCCGAAGAGATGCCTGGAAGAAACCCTGGGCTTAACACGTGGATTAAACGTCAAGCTTTCAAACACGGAGGGATCCTTTACATTTTAATATTTATTAACAATTATAATTGTAATTATAAACAATTTTTTAACGTATACAAAGATCCATAGAACATCGATTAAAATACTTTCAGATGCGATATATTGTTAACCCGCAGTAGTAGCAGAGCTACTAAAGTGCTATTGCATAGATACAATAGTATCATAAAACCTTCTAGGGTAGCAAGAAAATAGAACCAAATACATGAAGGATACGATTAATATTTGACTTAAAATTGTCAACACTCAAAATTTTCAAACTCAAAACAATGGCTTGTCACATCGAATATTTTGTGTAAATACAACTCACGGGTAAAGTTGTTGTAGTGTAAACATAACTCACGTGATACGTTTAATTAAAATCCAAATCTTGGTTTCTTTAAAGAGCAATCGAAATGTTCGTTAATTTTCCTTCTTACAGCTAGCCCTGCTTTGCATAAAAATCCCAAAATAAATGTTAAAACAAAAAGTAATCGAACTCCCCTAGCACACCATGAGCCCGTAAATCACCGTGTTTCTCATAAAGGTTATTATTCTGCGCGATTAGATCGCGCGATTACGGTCTCGCTAAAACCGAAAACCAATAGATCAAATATCTCATGCCCATGCTCCAGGGGTCGTTTTAACTCTCCCCTAAACCCGCGGGAAACACGGAAACAGGTTGTTTACCTCGGCACATGGGGCGTCTGCTGGTTTTACTTACCCAGCAAGGGGGACAAGTAAAGCTTGTTTCTTCACCCACTGTACAGACATAGGAAAAGTAACATGTGTTTGAACAGTCACGTGATGTTGGTGTGTACACAAGTACGGCCTGTACACAAGTATAGAGTGTACACACAGGGATGAATGAAACCCAACGAAGCATCGGTCAGGACGGCGGGGGGGTGGGGGGGGGGGCTGGGGGTGGGTGGTTGTTGCTAGTTAAACTGATGGATTTCAACATCTAAACAACATTAGCGTGGATCGATCGTACAAATGAGATATAGCTGTTTAATTAGGAAGGGGGGGGGGGAGACCACGATAAGCCAATTGAAAGTTTAATTTCGTGTGTATTAAAAAAAAGACCCTGTTACAAAGAACAAAATCTCTCCTAAAGCTAGTTGACAGGTGCATCTAACGTGGAGTAGGGCCTTCAAAGGTAAAATTTTACTCAGAACTTTTTCAAAAGATCGTGTTTACGTTCACATTAAAATAATTACCCCGTACCTTTTAATATCGCGAGGATTTTTTGTGAACTCCAGACAAGTTTTTTGTAACCAAGTATACGGGCACGACAGTGGCGAATCGATACGAATTCCTAAAGATCTCTGTATGATCTTTGTGTGATCTGAATGATCTTTATGTGACTGGACATGTTCGAGAGTAATGTACTCAGTACACACAGACGTTAGTTCAACACAATCGTTAGCGGAACTTCTCGTACACAGCCGTTAGACCAATTTGTTGTACACACAGACCAATCTCTTGTACACAGCCGTTAGACCAATCACTTGTACACAGACGTTAGACCGTTAGACCAATATCTTGTACACAGCTGTTAGACCGTTATACCAATATATTGTACACAGCCGTTAGACCAATATCTTGTACACAAACGTTAGACCAATATCTTGTACACAGCTGTTAGACCGTTAGACCAATATCTTGTACACAGCCGTTAGACTAATCACTTGTACACAGACGTTAGACCGTTAGACCAATCACTTGTACACATCCGTTAGACCAATCTCTTGTACACATCTGTTAGACCAATCTCTTGTACACAGAGACCAATCTCTTGTACACAGAGACCAATCTCTTGTACACAGACGTTAGACCAATCTCTTATACACAGTCGTTAGACCGTTAGACCAATCTCTTGTACACATCCGTTAGACCAATCTCTTGTACACATAGACCAAACTCTTATACACAGTCGTTAGACCAATCTCTTGTACACATAGACCAATCTCTTATACACAGTCGTTAGACCAATCTCTTGTACACAGAGACCAATCTCTTGCACACAGACGTTAGACCAATCTCTTGTACACAGACGTTAGACCAATCTCTTGTACACAGACGTTAGACCAATCTCTTGTACACAGACGTTAGACCAATCTCTTGTACACAATCGTTAGACCAATCTCTTGTACACAATCGTTAGACCAATCTCGTGTACACAGACGTTAGACCAATCTCTTGTACACAGACGTTAGACCAATCTCTTGTACACAGACGTTAGACCAATCTCTCGTACACAAACGTTAGACCAATCTCTTGTACACAATCGTTAGACCAATCTCTTGTACACAAACGTTAGACCAATCTCTTGTACACAACCGTTAGACCAATCTCGTGTACACAGACGTTAGACCAATCTCTTGTACACAGAGACCAATCTCTTGTACACAGACGTTAGACCAATCTCTTGTACACAGACGTTAGACCAATCTCTTGTACACAATCGCTAGACCAATCTCTTGTACACAAACGTTAGACCAATCTCTTGTACACAGCCGTTAGACCAATCTCTTGTACACAGACGTTAGACCAATCTCTTGTACACAATCGTTAGACCAATCTCTTGTACACAAACGTTAGACCAATCTCGTGTACACAGACGTTAGACCAATCTCTTTTACACATTGACCAATCGCTTGTACACAATCGTTAGAACAATCTCTTGTACACAGACGTTAGACCAATCTCTTGTACACAGACGTTAGACCAATCTCTTGTACACAGACTTTAGACCAATATCTTGTACACAATCGTTAGACCAATATCTTGTACACAGACCTTAGACCAATATCTTGTACAAAGACTTTAGACCAATATCTTGTACACAGACGTTAGACCAATATCTTGTACACAGACTTTAGACCAATCTGTTGTACACAGCCGTTAGACCGTTAGACCAATCTCTTGTACACAACCGTTAGACCAATCTCTTGTACGCAACAGATAGCACTAATCCCTGTACAGTACCTTTAGCCCAGCTACTTGTATACAGCCGTTATCCCAGCTAATTGTACACAGCCGTTAGTTCAACCACTTGTACACAGCCGTTATCCCAGCCACTCATAACACAGGCGCTGGTCCAACCACGAGAATACACCGACCACAACAAATCAACCCTTCAAGGCACATGCATGGGAAATAAATACCCCACCCTCCAGGAACGCCTCTTCAGTTGGATGAATACGAGATCGACATTTTCTTGACAAAACTTGAACTGCACACACAGTTCATGCGCCGACGTAAACTTTCCCAAAGGCGAACGAAATAGAAGTCACATTCAATACCACGGTCTAAATGTCTTCATTCAGAACGCTCTGTTTTGACGCTGAAAGGAGTTTGGTGGCTTGCTTGTGGTAGGGGCGGGGGGAATAAAAAAAGAAACTGATTGTTGGAATGTGTTAGTCGTAATTTATTCTTAATGAATGCTACTTTTCGGTCGCATGGGGGAAGAGCTATAATTAGACATGCGTCTTGGTAACACAAGTATTGGGGGGGGGGGGGGGTGTAGGCCGGTCACAGATAAGGAGTGGAGGCATCGGAATCAATTATTCATTTTGTCCGTGGGATTATTTTTCTTGATTGTGTTCAGTATCCATTAGACACGAGAGTATGGGGGATGTTGTGGGAGGGTGTGTTTGTGTGTTGGGTGAGGAGTGGGGATGTATCTGTGATATACAAACATGATGTAGTGGGAAGGGGTGGAGATCCGTTCAGTGATGTAAGTTTTATTTAGAGGAGAGGTGACGGTCAGGTGATGTGTGACGGAATACAACACAGTTTTTAAATAGAAGTGATATGAACTACGTGAAATGTAATCCATATCCAGCGATTTTTATTTCATTAGCTGATTTTGTATATTCAAACAGGCAATGGCGTATTTTCAAATAGACAATGGCGTATATTCAAACAGAAAATGGCGTATTTTCAAATAGACAATGGCGTATATTCAAATAGACAATGGCGTATATTCAAATAGACAATGGCGTATATTCAAACAGAAAATAGCGTATATTCAAATAGACAATGACGTATATTCAAACAGACAATGACGTATATTCAAATAGACAATGACGTATATTCAAATAGACAATGGCGTATATTCAACTGAGACCTACAGATCCCTGGTCTAGCGACGACCAAATACAACAATCAGTGAAAGCTCCTTTAAAAAAAGATTGATCAATGTAAGAAAATATGAAGATATCGAATTAAATACCACTATCTCTAGACATACACACCTTGATAAAGGTCAACGTCGTTTAAATCCCCAGCCAGTCTCTTTATATAAAAAAAAATAATCCCACAGATTTTCTCGACAGTTCGCTTGTATTTATGAAAGGTCTAACCTCTGACCTCTCCCCCCCCCCCCCCGGTTCTGACTGATAACGAGAAAAAGAAACTGTACTCAGTTGACACATTGACAGCAGAGAGTCAACAAGACAGACAGCACAGACAGCACAGACAGCACGGAGAAGACAGACAGCACAGACAGCACGGAGAAGACAGACAGCACAGACAGCACGGAGAAGACAGACAGCACAGACAGCACGGAGAAGACAGACAGCACAGACAGCACGGAGAGGACAGACAGCACAGACAGAACGGAGAGGACAGACAGCACAGACAGCACAGATATCGCAAACCTGTTGAGACAACCGCCACATTGCGTTGAGTTAAATCCTAAAACATTAGGTCACATCAAGCAAGTAGTTGTAAAAGACGGGGGGGGGGGGGGGGGCTGAGGAAGGCGACCTCTGAATTAAAGTTGCCCAGCCCCGACACCCCCTCCCCTTACACCTCCAACCAGGACTGTCAGAACCTGACATCAACCAGTCTGGGGTGCTCTGACATTCATTCCCGGCATCCTTTTGCTGGCGCCTGATGTGACGTCACGACATTGGCACACCACGACATGACAGTCATTAGCACATTCAAATAAGGTGAATCCTTGGTAGGAATGCGGCCCACCAATGACACACCGGGTCAGGTATATTTTCGACAGTTTTCTGATCTACTTTCAAGACACTCAACCGACTGATAAAATTATAAATAAGGTAAAAGGGGCAGGGTTGAAAATATATCATAAGTATACGAGCAGGGTTGGGGTGGTGGAATTGTGCCATAGATATACAGGCGTCGTCGTATTTCATACACGCATGACGTCATGTCACAGAAAATACGATGACGTCAGCGGTTCTAAGAAAGTATGCGTACGCACCCTTTGACTAGTCTGATGGTAGCTAAGTTATGCTAAACATAAAGTTTTTGTTTGTTATTAACATTTTGTCATACCCCTTTCTGCGAATCGTTAAGGACCGTAACCCCCCCCCCCCCTTCCTTCCCCCCCCCCCCCTACGTTTAAAATCGTTGGCTCTGCTTGTAAACATTTAGAGTGAACACAGCTCACTAAAACCATGTAGGGGTGGGGAGGTAGGGAGCGCGTTTACAGCTTGTTTTCTAGGCGCGTTTGCAGCTTGTTTTCTAGCGGCTCCCAGAAGAGAATTATATATATAGATAGATAGATAGTGTTAAAATCATCTATATATATAATTCTCTTCTGGGAGCCGTTAGAAAACAAGCTGTAAACGCGCTCCCTACCATCTCCACCCCTACAGTGTCTTAGTGAGCTGTGGTTCACGCTATGTTTACCTTCGTGGAGTCGGGTTTAGTGACGGCTATTAGGGGCAGATAATTTAGTTTGAAACGATTTTAAACGTTGGGGGGGGGGGGGGAAAGAGAGGATGGGGGGGGGGAGAGGAAGGGGGGGGGGGGGTTATGGTCCTTAACGAGCTACTTATAGTGTTTTAAAGAAATATTTTCAGTGTCAGCGTTGGTACTGTCGAATTCACAAATTATGAATGGACACCAGCGAGTTGACGAGATTCCTTCCGTAATGTTGTTGACATGGAATAAAAATGTGCTTTTTTAGATTTAGGACCATAAAACTAATAAAAGATAACATTTTATTAAAAACTTAAGCCTAAAATTAATTCAGAAATGTAATATTTTTAGAATCAATGCTATACAAGTTGCAGATCCAGAGAACTTGAAAATAATTTGTTGAGTTTAAGGCTACATTTCTATTTATTTTCATCAAGCCTAAGTTATAACCCGATGTTTCACTTTCGTAAGACAAACATTGATTGGCTGTAAAGGAACTCCGTGATCGATTTCTGACAGCCCCACTTTATAGTTATTTTGTTTACAAAACTTTGCAGATCAAGTTTTTAAATAACTATGCAAATCTAAACACCATGACCTATTTTTTCTATTTTTAGCTTACAATGTGTACAATAAAATTTATGGCGGCCATTGTTTATGTTGCCATTACACGTGAAAACCAAATTGTTTTTGCTTTTTTTTTAATTTTTATTTAGTTACCGAAAATATTAAAAACATCAAATACATCAAATCTTTAGTAAAGTCCGAAAAAAACCAGACAGACAGGATTTTATAACCATATTAATTGTAACTACGCCGTGCAAGATTTTTAAATGAATTTATGCACCTCTCAAATACCTTTGAGACTTTTCTCGCTGGTGTCCATTACTGAAAAGTAGAAAAAACAACAACTAAATAGCGGCGTATGTTATGCCGCGGGCCGGCTCGTTATATATAAATAGATAGTGTTAAAATCATTTCATATAAAATAACATTAACAAACGCCTTCAAGCGCGAACACGTTACATTAAACCTAACGATAACAAATTAACCTGAGAATTGTTACATTAACCAGAATGTTAATAACAATTTTTTATTAATTTAATCCTTTAATACATGAATCATTACAGTGAAGATTAAAAACCTCTTGATAAACCCAGCAATTCAATCGACAAAACGCCGAAAAATAAAAGGCTACACGAAACCAACGAACCATATAGAAAAGGAAAAATTTAACGAATCGTTTTCGTCCTCTTACACTGTTTCATGTAGGAACTTATGTAGAACAGTTTTTACGTCTAAGTGAGGTATATGTATGAAGTAAAATATAATGTATAACCATAAGCGTAAGTAGTTTTATATAAACAAACGGATGGTGTTACTAGCTAACAAATTAAGACTACAAGACATTTGGCTCTGAGGGACACTTGAAACTTCCTATAGTAGGGGGTGGGGAATGGGTGTGCCCCAGGAGAGATGCCTGGAAGAAATACTCAGTGTTTCTTCTAGACTTTTTTCTCCGGGGGGGCACTTGAAATTTTCGGGGGGGCGGTAAACTTTCTTCGGGGGGGGGGGGGGCGGACACTGTTAAAAGTATATATTTTCTATATAAAATTTATAAATTTCATTTCGTTCGGGGGGGGGGGGGGTAAAAAATTTTCGGGGGGGCTTCGTCCCCCCCGAAGAGATGCCTGGAAGAAACTCTGGAAATACTGCTTAGGTAACCAGGATAATATAAAAGTTGAAGTAGAGTATACTGATACTGGGCAAACTTGAAAAAGAAATACATTTGGCATCTGTCAGTAATATCTCTTACTATTAGGAGGATTTGTTCACTTACACTATAAATCTGAAGATTTGGCCGTTTCCACTATGTCTATATATATATGATATATGATATTTTGGTCACTTACGCAAAAATTACATTGGATTCTGACGCTTTGGTCGCTTACATTATATATGAAGATTTTCTTGATTACATCATATGTTTGAAAACTGTCTTAATGAGTTCCACCTTAAATTGAGTTTTGAGTGAGGCTAAACCCAGTGTTGAATTAGTTTAAAGTTACGTGAACAAATGTGTGATGTGAATTTCACAGAGTGAATTAGGGTTGGTAGGAATAAACAGGGTTGGAATACGTTAAATCGGGTTGGACTGATGCGCTCATAGGATGGCTGAAACGAAAACGGGCTTCACTGCATACATTAGGGCTTAAATCAACACCGTAAGATTGGACGGTTGGAATGAGGTCAGCACCCAGCTTTCCGGCTGACTGAACCATGTCTCACCTGGGGGGGGGGGGGGGGGATTGAATCTATTTTTGGATGCCATGTAGGCCAACGTTCAACACGGGGAAACGCTTTACGATCTCAAACAACGTTTTCGGCATTTAAATTGATAGCCGCCATTAACTTGTCACGTGACCTTGAGGTCCCTGGTTTCAGCTAGGCTAGGTAGTGATGTAAGCGGATGTAATGGTAGTGATGTAAGCTGATGTAATGGTAGTGATGTAAGCGGGTGTAATGGTAGTGATGTAAGCGGATGTAATGGTAGTTATGTATGGGGGACGTAATCGTAGTTATGTAAGTGAATGCAATCGTAGTGATATAAGCGGATGTAATCGTAGTGATGTAAGCGGATGTAATCATGGTAATGTAAGTGGATGAAAGTTTGTGATATGACCTCGCCTACCACATTAGCTTACAGATTTGTGCCTTGTTTTATTTCATAACGTGACAACCACGTCAACCAAAAATATGAAGTCTCTCGGGGGAAATGTACAAAACAATAAACCATCCCATCTGATCTACGCCCTAAGCCCCTAACATGGCGAACATCTATCAAAGAAAATGCCATTAAACACCCCATCAAAGTTTGCAGATCTGTAAACTTGGACATTTTTTTTTTTAACTTGGTTAAGTATCTGTGTGGGATAGAGTTTGGACGTCGCAATACAATAGGCAACCAATCACTTTTGCTGTAACGGGTGATAAGGGGCTGACTCCCCCCCCCCCCCCCCAACCCCCACTTTGTTCTTCTTGTTGGGATGTTAAATCTATAAGTGCTTGTAATGTGTGTGTGTGTGGGGGGGGGGAAGTGTGCGTGATCGTGTATAAATAGCTGACACATTTAACGCTCCAAGTTCTGGATTGTATAATCCAAGGTGGGACGGTCAGAGTCAGGGTGACCGCCAGAGAGTCAGTGTGACTCAGATTTAATGCGAGACTCATAGAGAGTCAGTGTGTCAAGCAAAGAGTCAGCGTGACGCAGATCTAACGTGCGGCGGTAAGAGTCAGTGCGATGGTCACAGAGTCACCGAGTCTGTCAGAGAATCTGTGTGACTCTGAGCTCGCAATGCCCAAAAGAATTGTGACGCCAATGACAATTGGAGAGGGGGGGGGGTGGAGCCGCTGTTGTAGTTTGACGCCAAGGAAAAAAAAAAGGTGCGGAAGATTCTAGAATGTGACTAATGTATGGCAGATAAGTTGGTCTCTAGTAGTCTCTGATTATCTGTGACGATCTCTGGCGATCCCCGACAGTTGCTAGTAATCTCAGAAAATACAAAAAACCCGGATAAGACGGAGTGGTAGAGAGCTGGACTGCTAACCCGTAAGTCTCGAGTTCGAATCCGGGTTCAAGTCAGTAAACCGTCCTTGAGTCCACCCAACTCTGATGGGTACCTAACTCACGGTAGGAAAAGTAAAGGCGGCTGGGCATAGTGCTGACCACACTACCTCTTCATATGCCGAGGTAACAGAAACGAGTGAACTCTACTTCAATTGCCCTATAGACCGTCAGGTTTGAAAGGGAACTTTAATTTTTAACCCGGATAAACCTAGACAATCTCTGGCTATCCCCGACAGTTGCTAATAATCTCAGGTAGTCCCAAACCACCAGGATAAACGTAGACAATGTCTGAAAATACCAGCTATCCCAATAGAGACGACAATATAAACCTTTCTTCGACAATCACCGTCATTTGCCGACAGTTACCGACAATCACCGATTTTCACACAAAGAACACACAACAACAGCCTCTCATCGTTAAATCTACGCATCCTGTCTCGTCCTTATCTATATCAAATTAGTAATTATATATGTCACGTGACACGATCCACACAAGGCCGCCATAAAAACAAACAGTTCCGCATCCTGTTTAGACTCGAAATTTTGTTTTCCTGTTAATCTTCATCATCTGAAACAATCCCGAAATTACCCCAAAAAAACAACAACAAACAACGAGTAAACCCTCCCCTCCCCCATTCGCTTCCTGCATACAGACATTAGCCAACATTTTACTTTCGAAATGTCTATTTGTAATGTCTGACAACTTCCATATTAAACTTTAATTACAGGTAAATAAGAATTTTAATTTAACTACGGATGATGAATCAAACTCCAAGAGACTGCTAACTTGACATATTTACAGACTTGACACATTTACAAACTTGACAATGGACAAATTGACTTACTAGTCGCCCACCTTGGGCTTTAATTGTTGGCTTAATGCTTTACGGTATTTTTGAAATTCTCCGACATTTCTACACGCGAGAAAACGTATCCATTCAGTCTAGACCTAATTCCACAAATTTGAAAATATCTCATTATTTTTTTAAAAATATCCCACCAATAAGGATATATCCCACCAATCTGGAAATATCCCACTAATAAGGAAATATCCCACCAAATTGCACATATCCCATCAATTTGGAAATATCCAACCAATACGGACATATCCTACCTGTCTGGACATAACCCACCAATTCGGATAAATCCCACCAATAAAGACATATCCCACCAATTAGGATATAAACCACCAATCAGGATATAACCCACCAATAAAGACATATCCCACCAATGCGGACATATTCCACAAATTAGGACATATCCTATCAATAAGGACATATCCCACCAATAAGGACATATCCCACCAATAAGGACATATCTCACCAATAAGGTCATATCCCACCAATAAGGACATATCCCACCAGTAAGGACATATTCTACCAATAAGGACATATCCTACCAATAAGGACATATCCTACCAATAAGGACATATCCTACCAATAAGGACATATCCTACCAATAAGGACATATCCCACCAATAAGGACATATCCCACCAATATGGACATATCCCACCAATAAGGACATATCCCACCAATAAGGACATATCCCACCAATAAGGACATATCCCACCAATAAGGACATATCCCACCAATAAGGACATGTCCCACCAATAAGGACATATCCTACCAATAAGGACATATCCTACCAATAAGGACATATCCCACCAATAAGGACATATCCCACCAATAAGGACATATCCCATAAATTATGACATATCCCACCAATATAGCAGTGAAAGGAAAAAAAATTACTTGACTTTCTTGTACCCCAACACGACAGAAACAACTGAGAAACTTTTTGTTTTTCTGCTTGAAAACCTCACAAGTTGATTCTAACACAGTTCATTTCTTTTATCAAAGTAGGGTCTTCAAGAATTTAAATCAGTAGAAAGCCATTCCCCTTTAGATAAGAATCCTATCTATAAACTTTTTAACGGTTCGACGCACAGGTTTTGCGGTTTAATAAACTGTGGCGTGACCTTTCGACCTCAACGTGACCTACTTTAAAAGTCAAGTAGAATTCATTGAATATCTTGAGCTGTTGCATTTTTCTTTTTTTATACAAAAAAAAAAAAAAATTTTTTTCGAATTTATGCGAACGACGTCTTCAACATACGTGAAGTAACACGACACCCAGGATTCAACTAAAAACGAATAGCTAAGTGCTTGGTTAAGGAATTCTCAGGTGTTAAAAATCTAGTTGAAAACGTTTCGGTATTTACACAGCACCTCGCTAGAGGGGAGAAAAAAATCTTATTCGTCAACATGACGAGCGGATCAAGTCCTGATTAATTGTATCTGTTAATAAATCACACATCTGCTAATTGCGCGACAGTTAAACTGTGTTTTGAGTCTGGTTACGCTCTGTTAGTTCTCAGCATACACACCAGACCTGGACAACATATGGAGGAGATTGAAAATAAATTGTTGACGTCTGCTGATAGCAATCTGAACCTAACAGGAACGCCTTGGAGCTGATCGTCCATCTCGTGAAGATGTCAAAAGTACAGAACCGCCAGAATATGCTGTCAAAAGTACAGAACCGCCAAAATATGCTGTCAAAAGAACGTCAGACAATCAGAATCTGCGGTTAAAAGTACAGAACAGACAATCAGAATATGCTGTCAAAAGTACAGAACCGCCAAAATATGCTGTCAAAAGAACGTCAGACAATCAGAATCTGCGGTTAAAAGTACAGAACAGACAATCAGAATATGCTGTCAAAAGTACAGAACAGACAATCAGAATATGCTGTCAAAAGTACAGAACCGCCAGAATATGCTGTCAAAAGTACAGAACAGCCAAAATATGCTGTCAAAAGAACGTCAGAATCAGAATCTGCGGTTAAAAGTACAGAACAGACAATCAGAATATGCTGTCAAAAGTACAGAATAGACAATCAGAATATGCTGTCAAAAGTACAGAATAGACAATCAGAATATGCTGTCAAAAGTACAGAATAGACAATCAGAATATGCTGTCAAAAGTACAGAACAGACAATCAGAATATGCTGTCAAAAGTACAGAACCGCCAGAATATGCTGTCAAAAGTACAGAACAGCCAAAATATGCTGTCAAAAGAACGTCAGACAATCAGAATCTGCGGTTAAAAGTACAGAACAGACAATCAGAATATGCTGTCAAAAGTACAGAACAGACAATCAGAATATGCTGTCAAAAGTACAGAACAGCCAAAATATGCTGTCAAAAGAACGTCAGACAATCAGAATCTGCGGTTAAAAGTACAGAACAGACAATCAGAATATGCTGTCAAAAGTACAGAATAGACAATCAGAATATGCTGTCAAAAGTACAGAATAGACAATCAGAATATGCTGTCAAAAGTACAGAATAGACAATCAGAATATGCTGTCAAAAGTACAGAACAGACAATCAGAATATGCTGTCAAAAGTACAGAATAGACAATCAGAATATGCTGTCAAAAGTACAGAATAGACAATCAGAATATGCTGTCAAAAGTACAGAACAGACAATCAGAATATGCTGTCAAAAGTACAGAACAGACAATCAGAATATGCTGTCAAAAGTACAGAACAGACAATCAGAATATGCTTTCAAAAGTACAGAACAGACAATCAGAATATGCTGTCAAAAGTACAGAACAGACAATCAGAATATGCTGTCAAAAGTACAGAACAGACAATCAGAATATGCTGTCAGAAGAACAGAACTATCAGAACATGCTGTCAAAACTACAGAATAGCCAATCAGAATCTTCTGTTTGTGGGGGAATATTTCCACTATTGTTATAGCTGGTCAGCTGGTGGTTTCAAATTTTACTTGTATTCCAATCAATAAATGCAATATCTAATAAATCAGTTTTAATCAAACTAAAATTCGATCAACACTGAATCGTTGTTTTCAAATTTTCCGCCCGCATTTTGAGTTTTCGAGATTTAGTCGTTTGGTTTTTTGTTTTCGCCTGGTTGCCTAGCAACAAGATCACAGTAAAAGCGTGACTTACAAACAACACAAATATTCGAACAACACATTTAAATGGGTTCTGCAGCGTCTCATCATTTTAGTTTATCTATGTACTATCTTCCCGCTTCAGTTACCTGCAGTAGTACCTTAGCTACCTCTTCACTCCAAAAAAACAAAAAAAACAAAAAAAAAAACCGAAAATTCAAGCATAAAATATTTTTAAAAAATAAACAACTTTTAATTCCTGTTTCAGTAAACGATGTTTATTTCTTAAAAAAAAAAAAATCTGTAATCACTTGAGGAATGTTATCGTTTGCTGCCACTTCTCTGGGCAGACGGAATGAGCCTTGTGCTGATCATTTCGGAACACGATAGAGGAAACTTGGCTATTTCAGATGGTACAGGTGATGTTGACAATAGTCTTAGGACCGACGTACACCGCGTTTACACTTGCGACATGTATACTATACATGTCTAGAATATATGTATAAGATACTTGTTCCGATAAAAATTAACTTATTACGAAGTTTTTTTAAGACATGTAGGCCTATAGTATACATGTCGCAAGTGTAAACGTAAGTTGTTTTTTTTTCCTTCAGTGTATGACTTTTTACCGATCAGACTTCAATTGAAAGAGAAACAGCATACACATATAGAAGGAATGGAGATTACCCTTTCAAAGAGGCGTTGGTTCTTGTGACGGTATATGAAGGGATTGTGTGATCAGCTTTAAAGCCAGTCGACCTTATATTGTCCACGTAGGTATTTATAAAGCCCCCAGATGAAGTAGAGTTTGTCTATTTCGAAGACTACATCGTGCTGAGGTGTGTGTGTGTGTATGTTGTTATGGTTACTCCCTCCATGGGTAAAGTGAATGCTATGTGTGAAGAAAAAAATTCTAGAAATTCTAGATTTGATTCGGTTAAACAAAAAGACACATCAACACCTAGAAAAAAAAATGTGGGTATCTCCGTAATCTAGACTTTGAAAAGGGCGTAGATGGGCGGGTTTCACGGTCGACTGGTCTTTAGGTGATTATCACGTGACTAACATCTGTAGAGGTGTGGGACACGATCTCGCAACATCACAAACTTCCTCGTGTGGCCGACATCTTTGAGAGGTGACGTGACGTAACGGACGAAACATCCGGGTGTTTACTAGAAGTTAAGCCCGTTGGGGCACGGATCAGCGCTCTCCTTAATAAAAAAATGTTTTCAATGTTTAAAGTGTCTTGTTACAGGGAGTTGTCGAATATATTTTCTACGTGAATGACATATCAACCCAAGCATATTATGTCTTTTTTTTCACACTCTGTCTAAATTTTTAAAAATGATATATTTGTATATACTATGTGTAAGTATATATGTATATTTACACGTATATATACATAAGTGGATATATATATATATATATATATATATATATATATATATATATATATATATATATATATATATATATATATATATATATATATATATTCAGGCATATATATATACAAACACACACACACACACACACAAACATATATATATATATATATATATATATATATATATATATATATATATATATATATATATATATATGTTTGTGTGTGTGTGTGTGTGTGTGTATAAAGAAAAAAAAGTTTATATTTAGGTGTAAATATAAAATAGATATAGATATTTCCTTTCCAAGGAGTTCTGATTTTTTTATGATAGCTCTTATTATATATTTACATCGGTTGTCATTTAAAATGTGTTCAGTCGTGTGGAACAAAATGCGAATATAAACACTGTGGGGACATTCTATCGTGTTCTTTTCAACACATGTTTGTGTGTGCGTGTGTCAGTTCGGTATTTTTAAAAAAATTTAATGTTTAATAGCCTTAATCTATTTTTAAGGTGTTTTTTTTTTAGTGTGTCAGTTCCGTAATTTGTTTCTTTAAATTTTAAATATCTTAAATCTATTTTTATCAAATTTTCTGTAATACATTTTTGGGTGTGACATAGTTCCGTAATGTGTTTTTTTTTTATTTTAAATATCCTAAATCTATTTTTATCAAATTTCCGTAATAGTCATAAGAAAGTAACAAAAAAAAAAACCTAGCGTTGGAGTGGCTAAGACTTCCCAATACAACAATAACTGTTGAATGTTGAGAGATGATGAAGGTATTCAACAAGTACAATAAGTTCCCCACTGGGCATGCGCAGGCAGCTTGATTTTTTAAAAAGTCGGAATGCGGATGGTCTTATCTAAATAGGGGGCGCCACATGTAAACACATACATCACCTGCACCCTAGACTTACATATTTTCGTCTACGGATTAATTATTTCTTTAGGTAGTTTCTTAATTCATCATGTTAGAAAGGGATGGTTTATCCTTTTTTTTTTAAATTCGCGGGTTGTAATGCAAAACTATAAACATATGGATGGACCGCCATTTTGTACAGATCGCGTGACAATGAAAGCGGATGTGAAACACGACAATGTGGAGTTTGGTCTTAAACCAGAGCGCATGAATCCCATGACCTGTTGGTTCAAAAAACACATCAGCGGATCTCAAACGAGTCAAGAATCTACCCCATGTCTGGGGCCATCGCTTCTATAGCCTGTCCTTCAATAATTTAACGTTGATCGATCGTGTCAAAAAAGAAATATACATGTTTGCTACACATTACCTAAAATACCCACGCAGGTATTTTCTTTGTAAGACTACGACTTAGACTGCACATTAACTCATGAATTAACTCAACGTTTCACCTCGCAGATTATCTTAAGCCCACGCATAGTAATCCCAAATATATTTTAAAAAAAAACTAAATCTTTTCCCCTTTCAATAATAATAATTCACCACTTACACCTTAAAAGCACCATTTCACCTTTAATCCCACTTCCTACATCTTTAACCCCCCCCCCTGCCCCCAATTAAACCTTTAAGCACACTACTTACACCCTTAATACTTACAGCTTTAATGGAACCCCACTTACTATCTTAATCCACCACTTATACATGTAAGCCGGCCACTTCTAATATCTATACCGTTGTAGCTATTTTTAACACACCATGTAGCCTAATGATACATTTGATAATTTGGTGTTTTTATTACAGAGATTTAAAAAAAAAAACCAAATAATTCTAGCAGAAAGGTTCAATTGTTCCTCTCCATCAGTGTTCCTAAGTCGGGCAGACTTCAACAGTAATCTTCATCCAGTCTGCTGTTTACAACACCCACTTTTGCTAGCTGCTAGACCCGTGAGTTTCCACCTGTCCTTTTAAAAAAAGGGTCTTTAAAAATAAATAGTTCCTTTGTCCCCTCTAATTTAAATCCAGGCCTATACGCGTTCCGAAAAAGATATTTAATTGTCATGGTTTTAGTATCTAATCTTTGATATAAAAATATTTGAAATCGAAATATAAAAGTGAAAGCTGCGGCTAATTAATTAAGTTTAATCTGATAGACACCGTGCCAGTAACATCGGCCCTAAGTCCAGGGTAGCATGTAGCACAATGCTAGACAGTGTCAAAAGTAACATGTAGCATAGTGTTACAGTAGACAGTGTCAACAGTAGCATCTAGCACAGTGCTAAAGTAGACAGTCTCAAATAATAGATGGTAGCACAGTGTCTACAGTAGACAGTGTCAACAGTAGCATGTAGCACAGTGCTAGTCAGTGTCAAAAGTAGCATGTAGCATAGTGCTAGTCAGTGTCAAAAGTAACATGTAGCACAGTGTCTACAGTAGACAGTGTCACATCACGATACGAGTTAAGGACCGGATACCTGACTTAAACACAGCAGTGATAAAGAATATTGGGGTGGGTATGGCACAGACAAGGGCAGGGGGTATTATAAAAAAAATGTAGAGCCACTATCAAGTAAATCCCCGGGGGGTGAGAGAACATTTCCCCAGGATACAAACTGTAACGTTGTTTAAGTCACCCCCCCCCACCCCTCACTCAGTGACACACTGTAAACTAAAGTGACATTTATAACACCACGTGGTTATAAATTTAACGATGACGTCATGCCGTG